GGGGGGAGGGGACGCCTGATTGAAGTTTGCCACTCGACCCAATCAGCGTCACCAGGGGCCGAAAGAGAGGATATCCAGGACGTTTCGGACCGTATTCCCCTCTTTCCCTTCCGCGATGATTATATAATGGGTCGCTCGATTGATGGGGTGATTGGGTGATTTGCGCAGGGCCGGAGGGATTCGGGCTTGTTTGGAAGGAGGGGGTGGGACTCATCCTCCGTTCCTCTTTCAACCTCACCTCAACCCATTCTTCCCTGCTCTCAAGGGTGAGTGACGTCTCGCGATCGTTTCCTATCTTCATAATCGTGCTTTCATTTTCTATTTTTCAAGTTGCAATGCTTTTGTCCTTAGACGAATGCATACATAGTAATTAATAAGAATTTTAATGCGTTAATGGCATGAAATTAAGTCCTCAGTTCATAAATGATACTCGGTGAAACAGTATAAATTCATGTGGCATAGCAGACGGAAGTAAAATCTCCCTCATGGATTCTCTCCTCTTCCATTGGGTCCATCACTCACAGGCTTCCCTGGCTTCTGTTCCTGTTGTCCCATCCGGCCGGGGAGCCTCCTCACTCCCTCCACGTCCGGCAGCAGCACATCCTCGACGACCTCCTCCACGTCCTCCTCGCTCCTGCCGGGCGGGGAGCATCTGGGCCTGCTCAACCTGACGAAGGGGGAGGAGCGGACGGCGAGCCTCGCGGAGCTCCGCCGGAAGGCCCGCGAGCATTCGGCGGCCATCGCCATCGCCGACGGCACCGCCGCGACCGGCGGTTCCACCGTCGGGCGACCGAGTCCCGTCGACTGATGATTCCGTTTCGTAATTCGTCTCTCTGTCTCCTATTATGTCAGCTTTACGATGACCATTCCGAGCCTGTGATTCTCGATTCTCTCGTAGGGAATGAGTGAATGAGTGCAATGGATATGATGTAGAACAGAATCGCTATATATAGAGTCTTTGGGCCGCGCTCGTTCGGGCCTGTTCGTTTTCATTTGCTCACGTAAAGGCCGTGATGACGTTTTATTGCATGGATCTCGTAGGCGGTTATTCGAATAAAAGCAATGAGGAAATCACCGCAAAGATTTCGAACGTTTTTGGTCCCACGACCCCGTTTCATGGAGTTTGGAAGTTTGGATCCCTGACACGATTCCAAAAAAGATCGACTCGGAAAGAGAAAATGACCCGGAATCCTGAGCCCCATTCGAGGCAGAGCTACTCCTTCTCTGGTTCAATTCGTGTTCTAGCAAGAAGGGAATGAGACGAGAAGAGAGAGGTCATGGGGGAATTGTGAAACGTGAGTTAATAAGGTGAAAGGTGAAAGCTAATAAGGTAATAATAAACCTTTGGGGTGAAGGATCTGTGAGGGCGAACGATGTCTCCTTTCCTTGTCTTCACTGGCTGTTTTTTTTGGGGGAGAAAGGTACATGCACCTCTCGATAAGTCGACCTCTCTTACTCGAATTTCCCTTTAGCTCGAGGTTACAACGTTTCAAGTCGGAATTCTCAGGAGGAAAATGCATTCTAACCTCATTTTAACTCCGACGGCAATAAGGCGAATTTCTCGATAAGTCTAAATAAATTCCTGTGCCATTCATTTGGTTCCCTTTACAGACACAGTGGCGTGCCCAGGAAATCCAAAAGGGGGGGGTTGCCATATGGAACATTGATTACTCACCGTAATGGGGGGGGGGGGGGGTTAGGGGGGGGGGGGGGGGGGGGGGGGGGGGGTTTATGACCCCCAAAACCCGCCCCTTGGGCACGCCACTGCACAGACGAACTTTGCTTCAAGGTCATTCCATACAAACGCAACCAAACAGTGTGCTCGACCATTTCGGAATTCGGGATGAAAACTAAGCGATTGCAGTCGATTTAGCATCCCAGGATTGAAAAGGAATGGACTTGACCGGAAATGCGGGATATCATCCCCCGAAATCTGGGGGAAAACGGAAAACCGGCCGAATTTTTATCCCATAAATATTTCATCACACCAAAGCGTGCAATGGCTTCAACCGGAGGACTAAAATGGCTGAACAATTCGCTCCATGCGTCATTCAATGAGATTTCGGTTCATCATGGAAAAAGTGAAATTTAACCAATTTTCAAACCAGAAATCTCTCGTTCCGGCTTATTCTACTCCTCTCTGAGGTGCATCGATGAAGCATTTCCCTTTTTTTGAATTTTCTGATTTTTGTTGCTCTTCGGTCGAGTATTTTTCAATGTCACGGAGAGCCTGCGACATCAAGAATGGTGTCATTAGAAAGGAGAGCTAAAGATCTCTCCAACGATCTAAGATTTTCTGAGCCATTGTCGTAAAAAAAGAATTAATTTGCCAAAACTTGCACATTCCAATAATTCCCATTTTCATCAAGTGGCTGAATATGGTCGAGTGACATGTCGATGGAAAAGTCTTTCAGAGATAAATGCGGCGTTTTGAGCATATCGCAGTTACACGTAAGCGAATTCATAATCATGGGAGTCAGAATGTCGCTCGTCCTCGACGTCCCTTAGCTTCAGCGAGCAAAACGTGCAATGCAAAGGAAATCAATAAAAGTTTGGATAAAAGTTTTTAGCTGATGCTTTTTGGTGCGAGAATTGCCAAAAGTTTGACATCTTCAAACTCAACTGTGACGCTGAAAACTCATTCGAACCGCATTGATGTATGGAGCGAATTGTTAAATTAAAAACCTCTGGTCGAAGCTTTTGCTTGTTTTCGATGTTTGTTTTTTGCGATGAACCGTTTCTGAGAAGGGAATTATTGCCAGGAGTGGTTTTCGCCGTTTCCCCCCAAATTTCGAGGGCGATATCACGCTAACCGCGGATCCGATGGAGGCTGTTCTCCTTTCCTGGAATGTTAGATTGACTGCAATCGCTTGGAGGCTTTTTTTTAAAATGTATTGTCCCTAAATGCCGGATGGTCGAATCGTTTTATATTATATTGGTTCAGTTCGTATTGAATGATCCATCAACATAGCTACCATTTCTGCAGACTCGGTTAACCCGAGAGTGCGGTGATCCGCGTCTTCGGTTCCCAACCTGATCAGCAGGGGAAATGAAGGCTGCGATGCGGCGCGGGGTGTTCGCACCCGCACCTTATCGGTGCTGCACCCTGGTGCCCACCAGTCAGGCAGCGCACCTGAACCTCGCGGTCCGCCACGGCTACAATCTCACGCTGTTGAAATTAGGCAGAGCTTTGTTGAAGGCCACGTCTGGCTTGACAGAAGAGACTTTCGACGCAGTCGCACACTCTGAAAATATTGCCGAACGTGAGGGCGCTGCGGAAACACGCCAAACTCTCCTGACTGACTTTTTCAAGAGATTATGCTAAAATGAGTTAGTGCTGCAAGTTTTGTGCTATTACAGGAAAACTATTTCAACTCACCGAAAGGGTTGTGGCCGGCCTTTCTGTTTCATGCCAAATTTTAACTACACTGGTGGACAAAATGAAGGTAACAATCACAAAAACCAGAATAACGTTTATATAATGTGAGATTTATATGTGAACATTTGTACAGAGATGCAATTCATCATTATCAATAAGTGTATATGACATGAGAAATTTTTGACTGGCGAAAGCAAGAGTTGATCGTCAAGGTAATTATATCAAGAAAATTACATCATGAAGCAAAAATTACGAGTTCCAACAGACATATTGAGGAAAAGTCAAAAGCCGCCAAAAATGATGACAAAAAGATGATGACGGGTTGAAAGGACGAGGTAGGGAAAGAAATTCTCATTGGACTTATTGCGTTGACTCGAAAACCTACGATAATATAAGGTAGTGCCATCGTGATGTTTCTCAGCATCATTAAATAATTTAGCAGTTATAATTAATCAGTTCCAATAGAGACACGTAAGTCGGGAAGAACGAAAGAACAAAATTCTGAATCACCTAAAGGGTAAATACGATTCGATTTGCTTGGTGAGGGCAATGAAGAATGAGCTGCAGATGGTCCTGCGACCCCCTCGCGATTTCCCCAGTCGTCCATCCGCGAAATCGAGCTTGGTCACGACACGAAGTTACAGGCAGTCCGACCTGAACGACAAAATCTCATGGCGTTCTCAGTACTGGGGCTGTACGGTCACATTTGGGCTCGTGAGCCGATGGCCGATTTTGATTTCATACCCGGCCAGTGCCGATCGTGGCCTGTAGGTTGAGAGGAAGTAATATAAAACCTAACTCAAATAGGCCTATTAGGAAGCCATACTTCCCAATGGACTTCATTCTTCACCTATTCGCATCCACAAACGTACTGGTACGTACAATTCCATATTTTCTCTTATTCCTTGGCCTAGATAAGCATAGACTTGTAGGCCTCGCGCTTCGGGCTGAGGCAGCAAAATTCTCGGTCAGATGGGCCAAAAAGTTCCTGGATGTGAATGGGGTAAAATGATATAGACCACTTTCAGTCCTGTTCAGTCTGCCTGACTGTCTGTGTCCGTCTTGCTTGTTACCCATGGGTGCTGTTAAGAGAGTTTAATAAAATATCTCTCGCAAAAGCATAACATAAAATGTCTAGGAGAGACCACCAGGAATGGCTTACAGTGAGACTCTGCGTCATTCGCATGCTCACGTCCTTTTTTTCGCTTTGCCCCTCTCTTGGGCATCGTCATCGGCAGTTTGCAAGCCCGCCGATGGCCAATGGTGCAATATCTTCTGCCATAGCGGTAGTTGCCGATACATCGGTATAGCCTTATTTATAACTCATTGAGATCCTTTCTAGCTTCATCGATTAGCAAAGACATTTAATTGGATCCACGAGGGTAAATGTGTCTGGTATGCAACCCAGATAATGGACGCTCTTGCTGTTGTCGACAACGGAAAGTCATCTTCATGGCTACGTCCACATTTGGAAATAAGTAGATGGTCACTGAATACGAATTCACGTTTGCACCTGCGAAAAGTGTGCTTGAAGTCACGCCTTTAACTTAACTTCCTGGTTACGAGAGTCACTAGGAAAGTAATGCATTCGATATTTTTTTTTTACTCAGATACGCTTTAATCTAATCATGTGAAACGGAACAGAAAGGTTTATACATCATCCCTGAAGAGAAAACCACTTTTCCACGTAGTCCTAGTCCATTTCAATGGTATTCCGCCATCTGCGAGCAAAAGCTTGCATTCCTGTCCGGTAGATGTCCTTACCCGCCTTGCCAATCCTTCCCAGCCTCCTTCCTCTCATCGTCGTCCTTGACTTTTTTTGCCGCGCAGTCCGTCCTTGGTCAAGGGTGGGAGGTTTGATTGGTTTAGCCGGAATTTTTTCCATCCGCTAATCACTTGCTCCAGAGCAAAAAAAAATTAGAGCCATTATTTTCTGAGACTCACGTATATTCTCAATGGTACATCTAGAGTTTTCCGTTCTTACCGAACGAACTAGAACGGGGCAATTCTGCAAAAATGTAAACACGGTTATTTGACCAAATATTCATGTTTGTTTACAACCGAACAAACTGAGATTTTCTTTAACCCTTACAGACCCAGCGTCCATTCCAATGGACATTGCATTTCCATTGTTTCTATGGTAATTTCCTGGGCTTCTCTTGATTTTCCACAGCATATTACATTACAATGGACTTAAAAATGCGCGCCTCAATTCTGTCGAAGGCCATCTCTCACCCATCAATTTTGTAATATTCAGTTATATAATTGCATGTTTTACATAAAATATGTGGTATGGTATGCTACATTTATATTTAAAATAAAAACGATATATGGAACATAAAAATTCAAAGTAGAATATGAAAAGAGCTTAAAAAGGCGAAAAAGTGCGTTCTCCTGATAGTGGCCTTGATTCAAGCCTGAAAGGGTTA